TGACAGCACTGCTGCTATTCAGATTGCCTCTAACCCTATTTTCCATGAGAGGACAAAACATATTGACATTGATTGTCATTTTATTAGAGAAAAGGTTAAAAGAGGTTACATATCCATTCAACACTTGGCTACTACTGAACAACCTGCTGATGTATTCACTAAAGGACTTGGTCGATTGCAACATGAATATTTGGTTTCCAAGATCGAAATGAAGGACATCTTCATATCTCCTAGCTTTAAGGGGGGTATTGAGGAATATGATAAAAGTATTGATAAGAGTTGAATTAGTTAGTTAGTTAAAGTTCAATTAGTTAGTTAACTAGTTAGTTGTTAGTTGTTAATTGTTAAGCTTAGTTTGTTAGCCAGCTGTCCTTTTACGATTGGTGCATTTACATTGTTAGTTAGCTAATTGATTGTATATATACATGAGTAGTTTGTACATTGTAATGTAGAATATACATTGTAAAATACATGAAGATGAAACTCTCTATATAACATTATTCTTCTTCTTCTTCTTCTTCTTCTTCAATCTTCCACTATCAATTGTCCTGTATCAACAAATTGATAGTTTTTAACTTAAGTTAATGGTGGAAAGAACCCTTGATGGTTGAAATTATCATGAGAATAACTTAGGGTTAGGTAGGGGTGATAACTTGAATATTGTTAGGTCATCTTTAGTTGATTATGGTGTTTTACTATCTGCTTAGACTAAAGAACAAGTTAGAATTCATAACCAAAGAGAAGCTTCAATTTTCTAGAGTTCTTAGGGGTCGAATCGAGGTAGGTGATGATTTTGCTTTCCCATATATGTTAAATGTACTTGATAACTGCATCATTAGTAGTACATAAACGATATATGATTAGGAAAGTTGAAAAGGCATAATATGAAAGGTAGGATGTTGTCAATCACATGTAATGAATAGGTTACATATATAAGTGTACATGTTAATTTGAATGCGATTCATTGTTATTTATGATTGTGCTATGTGGCTATGTTTGAGATCGGATATCACGCCGGTACACTAATATCTGAAACAGCTACCACACTGTACACTAACTTGGGATAGGATACTACGTCGATACACTCATTTGGGATCGGATACCACATTGGTACAATAAATGTGTGTATGAGTGGGTTCTGTGAGAGAACCAAACTTGTTTTGTTGTGTTGTGATAATTCATGTTATTATGTGTATAGATTTTGGAATATGATATGTTGTGTTGAGATTGTGTCTTATGTGCCTATCCATATTTCATATATCGAAATTAACTGATCCTATTAGTACACGATTATTGTGTGTTGTTACTGTTATTTCTCTCTCTTTATTGAGAACATGCAATCTTCAAGCGGCTGCTTAGCGGCTTCAGTTGGGAGGGGGGTTGTATCCTCTATCCTAGATTGTTAGATGTTTCAGTACAATGAAGTTTGGGTTCTAGGGAATTTTAAATTCTTCATTGGTTGTCGTTATTGGATTGTGACATTATGGGAACTCACACTTTTGATTGTTGTTAAGACTATTTCCTTACTATTTCAATCATTAATTGGTTAATTTATTGTCGGGTTAAGCTTGAATTGTTAGTTTTTTCTCCCACAAAAGGATTAGAGTGGGTGTCTCTACAACGAACAAGTGTCGTGACATGTCACATATTGAATACTTGTTTTTTTTTAGAAATGTATTTCAGATTAACTAGTGTATAGTTTGATTAATTTTATGAAACATATGTCACCTTCCGCCAGCAACAATTAATAATTAACTTTGTTTACCCAGACTAAAATTAATGAGAAAAAATTACCTAGAGTTTGGTCTATCCTAGAACTTAAATATGAGACATCATTATGTGCAATCCAATTTATTGACCACAAGATCACATCCTTCAGTGTCTTTATTTAAGTATATCTAATTTTTCGAGTTCAATTTAATCTCAACACTAACAACATGGTTAGAAGAGGAAAATTAAAAGAGACAAATAAAGGGTGCAATATAATATACCAAATATATCATAGTTATAAAACTTGTAGCCTTAACTAGCCGTATAATCTTCAAAGTTTATGTACAAATACACACAGACCATGTTCAAAAATAGTAATTCTATGAACTCTCTAAAAAATTATATTAGCCAGTTCATTTGCAGGTACTATATTATAATAGGTAGAAGTACGTTATAGCAGGATCAATCACTAGCGTTAAACAACCTTCCTCCAAGATCACTTGGGCTCCTAGTAGAGCCTAGTGTGACGTCTCGCCACAATTCCAACCTGATTTAGCGTTCAAATAGGGGCGGAAGGATCTAGAGTCTTGAAGAGGTTTGCAGAGAACTCTAGAACCTTCTAGTGTCGCACGGAGTCTTAGCAAAGACTCTAAGTCCGTGACACTAGACTAGCATTGTCTAATAATGCCTCAATCTTAAACAAGTTAAAGGTTTAACCGCTCATGTTTCCATTTAAAACCTTCTCAATTTAATAACAACATAATACCATGATTGAAAACCATACTAACAACAACAACCACAACATTTGTAATAATAATAGTAATAAAGGTACAAATAAGTACAAGAGTATCTAGTAAACATTAAGAGAAATTGACCATAAATTTAATAAGTAAATGAAACAACAAATTTTGAAGAAAAAGAAACAAACATAACAAATGGACATTTCAATGAGGATATGAGCAAAGAGTATTGAGAATCATATGATGCAACTTAGATATGCAAACTAACAAAAGACATTAGTCTAAGATCCTTATAAATTATCGTTGTTGCGATTTGAATCTTGAACATCAACTTTATCGAAAGATGTCTCATCAAGTAAAGTCAACAGATCGTTCCAATCCAAATTCATGAGATCATCGTTCCAATCAAACATCTCAGACAATGCAGGACTCTGCGTAAAGCTAACAGAGTTATTCTGATGATTATTTATTGGCATCGATACATCCGTTAACACTGGTGTAGACAATGCTTTGATTGCTTCACATACCTCTTTAAGGTTTTGGTTGATCACGTAACTCAGATCGTTGAGATCGTAAACATGTATACCATTAGGAATATCATCTCCATTCAACATTTCATACATCTTATTTGTGAACTCCCTAACTCTATTTTCCTTTCTTACCTTCTCTAGTTTTTCCTCCATTTTTTGAATCCTTTGCTTGGTGAAATTTTCTTGTGTCATCATATTTTTTGATTGCTCCAATCTTGACAACTCCCTGAACGTTGTAAAGGTGTTGGTAACAACGTCGTTATTTGGAAATATTATAGGTTCATTGTGGTAAGGACTATAGATGACAGAAGCTATTTCAACATCACAAAGGGTGTTGAGTTCACGGGCCTTTGTTAAGAACCCTTTCTGTCTTTTTCTATATGAGACTTTTCTTGAACTGTTATTTTCAATGAAAGCTAACTTCACTTTATTTCTAGGCATTGTTAAGGAGGTTTGGTTATTGTTGTTGTATATTTCTTTTCTTAGGATTGACTTCAATTTATAGGGGGGAATTTTGATTCTCTAAAAAATTAGAATAATTTGAATTAGAGGATTCTTAGTTGTCATTCTATTTTGGAATAAAATTAAATGAGGACTATGATCAATTTTTTAGTCAAATTTTTCTTATTAGGAAAATAATTTAATTGGTTTAAATCTTAAAAAAAATGGTTAGTAATAACTAATGTTTTTCATTGGCAAAATTAGTTGTTTTTTTTTGTGTGTGTATATATTTTTATTTATGAATGTACTAAAGATGGAAAATTTTGATACATCATGTCATGCATATTTGAATATACATAAATAATGAATTTAATGATTAATTTAATAAAATACAGATATGCATTGGATATTAAATGGTGATAATTGTTGTTGTAGCGCTTATAGAAATACATTATTATTTTATCTAGTTTTGGAAGAAACAATATTTAACAGAAATTTTAAAGACTTAAATTTATTTTTATTACTGTTTGATACTTATAAACCAGTCACTTAACTCACCTTAAAATTTCTTCTAAATTAGTCTTGAGGCAAATCAATTTAAAATAACTACAAAAAAACACAATCAAATTAATGTGTTTACACAGTGGGAAAAGAAAAAGATTTTTTGTTCTTTTAAAGAAAAATACTTGAGAAGAATAATAATTACTTGTAGACTGTCTTATTATTTTTTATTAAGTGAGAATAGACATTTTACTCTAATGAAATTTATTAGTATAAGCAGAAAAGGAAGAAGAACAATGAACATAAATAAAATATAATTATCATATATAGAATTAAATTTAGCAGCTAAAAAATATCACACTTTAAATCTAGTTGAGTCTTTTGTCTTCCCCTTTTCACCTTGTAACTTAAAAGAAAGTCTATGTAATATTATAATCTTTACTAATCGAATCTTAACGGTTTGAAGTTTTAAAACCTCAAAAATTTTGTTTGGTGTTGCTTTGTTTATTAAATTCATTGCAGTTCTATAATTTACATTATTTCTATTAAAAAAATGTTTTTCCGTCTTATTTTAGGAGGAAGTAACCCAAAATCTTTGACAATAATAAGAGGATTATAATTTCTTTACGACACATAATATTTAAATTAAATCAAAAAAATTAAATCAAATCGAATTTTAATTTGGATTATTTTTTTGGAATCTTGGTTTAATTTTGAATTTATAATTTACTTTATTTGGTTTTTTTATTTGATTTCGAATTTAGAAAAATGAAAACCGAAAAAATCAAATTATATATATATATATATATATATATATATATATATATATATATATATATATATATATATATATATATATATATATA